TTTACTTCCTTTAACAGCATCTTTAAAGTCTCAATCCATGCCTCATTCCCCTCATCAGTGGGTTATGGACAATAATGCTGTCTAGCCCCGAATTACTGAGATGACAAGATCCTCAGAAAGGAGGTGAAAAACGATTGTATAACTTTTTAAGTATTGCTTAATTCTTTTTTGAAGTAGATGGAGCATAGATCATATTAGCACTTAATCACATACATGTCTTTTGCTCTGACATACTGACCTAGTTCAGACTAAAGTTAGTGATAAAGAATATTTTTAGGTATCTGAACCCCACTAAGAAATCATTTAAGGTCTTTTGCTTTTAAATGCAGACAATTACTTCCATTTTCCCTGAAAGGAGTGGATCATATTTGCAACATGATTTGTCCCTGTTCACCTTGGCTTAGAGGACCTCAGCAATGGTATTCAGATGTTGCAGGCAAAGGATAAGCTCATACCCATAGGAGAACCACAAGCTTATACAGAATCTGTACCCCTGATCTTGGGTTGGAGAAGAAATAATACAAGAGGGTTGGCTGTATTTTCAAAATTTTAGTTAGTAGTTTGCTCCTCAGTCCTGGTGAGGCCACAGTTGGAGTATTGTGTGCAGTTCTGGGATTCACAGTACAAGAGAGACGTGGAGCTGCTAGAGCAGGCCCAGTGACAGAGAGGGGACCTCTTTAATGTGAGTAAGCATCCAGAGTAGGTGACAAGCAAAAGGACAAGAGGCAATGGGCAGAAATTGATGCACAGAAGTTCCACCTGAACACGAGGAACTTCTTTACTGTGCAGATGAGCAAAGGAAAAGGTGGCCCAGAAAGGTTGTGGGGTCTATCACTGGAGATACTCAAGAACCACCTGGGCGCAATCCTGTGCCATGTGCTCTGGGCTGACCCCACTTGAGCCCAGAGGCTGGACCAGATGAGATGCTCTGGTCCCTTCCAACCTGGCCGATTCTGTGATGCTGCAGTTATATTGTCAAATGCAGACATGGAAAAGTCATGTGTTCTGTTTCACAAATGATGAGTACAAGTCTGACTCTAGGAAAAGAACAGCTGTAAGCAGCAACTCTGAGCAAATAATGTCAGCATGGTAAATACAGCTCTCCAGAAGAGAACCACAAATTCTAAAAGGTGATATAATCTAGCTGGTTCTGGATCTGCATCCCATTTAGTTCTGCATTAAATATACAAAATTTGAACAACCATAAAGTGTCTGAGTTATTAAAATGTCTGTGGTGTGATGCACCTCTGGAGACACTCAAAAGGTTACAAGCTCAAGCACAAGGCAAAGCACACCTTTGCCAAACTAATTGGTCAATGTAAAAGCACTGAAGTAGGCACGTTGTGGCTTCAAAGAAAAAAATCGGGAGTTGTGGAGGGGGAGTTGTTAATAAATCTGCCCTTTAATGAGGATATTCTATTACAAAATAATTTGTAAGTATATTAACCTGTAAAAGCAAATTGCTGATGGGTTAATGGGTTTAAAGACCTTGTTACAGAGAACCATTAAATATGTAAGAGAGCAAGTACTCACAACAAGGAAAGGCTGAAAAATATAGGCTGGAAGTATAGACTGCATTTTTTTCCATTACATCAACAGCACATGTGCTGGTACAGAAGACAATAATTTATGATAGCATTTACATTTTGCTCCCTGTTGTATAAATTTTTGAACCCTTTTTTCCCCCCTTCAATTTGTGCAAAAAAAACCCACCTTCCTTTTTATCATATACATGTTTTTTCATGGTTTTAGGTATAAATACGCATCCTTTCTCTCTGGGAACTTAATGGATAAATGGAAAACGGGTGAGACTGTAACATCAGAGATTTCAGCCTCACCAACACACAAAACAGATTTTTAACCACACTTCTGAATGCTACTTTTCATTGAGGCCCAATTCATTCATTCATTCTACAAATTAGATTCTTACAATCAGACCAGACAGTTTATTTTAAACCATGCCTTATATAACTGAGATCTTTATTCTGTGATATTCAAGAATTCTTGTAAGACTTTTTTTTTTTTACCACAAAAAGGTCAATGAAGTCCCTAACACATATTTGAGAGGATGGGAAGTGAGGATGACTTAAGGACTGGAAATCTAAAAACAGGGAATATGGAACAAGAATGCTGCAACACACACTTAAGTTTTAAGGTGAGTCAAAAATAAATACTGACCCAGGACCCCCAGACCTGACAGCTGAGGAAATTCTCAGATATAATGCAAACACTGTAAGGAAATAGATGAAGGAAGACAAGCAGGAAGAAAGAGTCCAGTGACACAGACATGATACCAGTGAATCAACCAACATAGTTTTTAGGTCCTAACTCAAAGCTGAGACTTTTCCCCTTAATAGTCATCCCATGACAAACACAAAATGAACAGAGGACTGGTTGGCATTTAAAGACACTGTTGCATAGGCACTTTTGGCCTGTAAATTTGTTATTTGCAGCATATATCGCTCAGCCCATTACAAAGACCACTTTTCCTGCAGCATTATCCCTAAGGCTCATATGGTCTTGTATTTGCTTTGTAGCATCCTGGGAGTATTTTCTGAAGAAAGACCCACCATCTCCCTGGAGCAGGCCTCTTGACCACAATTCCCACTGCCAAGGGAAAATACTTAATATTCTCTTTTTTCAATCTTTTCCGCAAAGAGATTAAAACAAGAAAGAGGCTCAACATAAAGTAAGTAAATCCCAGAATTAACATCAGAGTAACTTCAGTTACTTCAGTTATTCTGACAGAAAACCATAATAGTTAATATTGTCACGTTTTAGGTTTTTTCCCTGGGGACACATGGTCTTTTCCCAATTCTGTACAGATAGCTGTCTGTACCAATCATGAACATCCTCTGACCAAGCACTGTTTTCTGACTTCTCTGCAAGTGGAGAAGGGAGATGGAGAGATGCCATTCTTCGTGGCATGGTTCCAATACCACAGCAACCACCAATATATATTGAAAGGAAGGTAGTGATTCATTTTTTGCTATGAAAAGAAGTGCTTTACCATGAATTCCTTTGTTAAAACAAAATTTATTTAATTTCTATGTTTTTTAACAAGCAAAATGTTCTAAGATGGTATTTTAGAATTTGCTTATGCAAATTCAAAGGAGACCTCTTGGACACACTTCATCATTTCAAAATATACACTTTACACCTAGGAAAATGTATCAAAGCCACAAATGCTTTGGTCAAGAAGTTTCACCCCTCTTGAATTGACTGATGATATCATATGTTCTAGGAATATTTTTATCATCTGGCATGTTGCTCGGCACCATATGGCACAACACACTGACAAGAGAGAAAGGACTAGTTTTAAATATTATATATATATAGGTAGATAAAAATAAATGTTACACATCTATAGAAGTATAAAAGCACTATTGCCCATTTCTGTAATTCTTATTACAGTAGGGGTTCACTGTGGAAGGTATGTTTTTCGTCCTCACACTGAATTACAGAAGAAATACAGAAGCAAAATGTAGAATAGTTAAAAAAAAATAAATGCAACCTCTCAAAAAGAGCTTGAACTGAATGCAACACTTTTTTTCTCACTTAGCAATGCTTCTTTTTCCAAGACTTGCAATTATTATAATAATGACATATTAACCCTTTCTCATGGAATTAATTTCATGCAGTTAATTTGGATAGACAGGTTTTATAGTCACTTAAAATTTTTATATAGAGCAATAGCTCCAGTTCTTTCAGTACTGGAGGGGATGGTTTTTCCAAGAAAACTTTTTAAATGGAAACTCGTGTCATTTAGCATTAATACACACATATATACTATCTCTCCATTTTTCATCATTATTTGAGGTAAAATGACATTATGAATTGAACAAAATACTGTAATGAATATTTATTTAGGTAGAAACCACATTCTTTTTATATTTGGCAAAGGAAATGTGAACTTTGGAGTCTTCTTCGTGAGGTCACTAACTGGGTACGATAGAACATTTAGCCCAGAGAAGTGCTCACCATGTTATTGAAATTCCTCTTTTATTTTTTTCTCTGATATCTTCTTGATAATTCTTCATTCGAACTCAGATACAGCAAGATCTCATCTTCTCCTCTAACATGACAATACTCCAGAATGGGAAAATGTGTCTAGAGAAAGTTTAAACATATTCTGTGCTAATGCAAAAGCAACCAAATGTCCATGGCCTCCCCATAGTAATATTCTGCTACAAATTTTTCCTTCATAATTCACCATTTTAAGAAGAAGCTACTAAACTGAACTTAGATTTCTCAGGCCTTTGGAAACATCTTCCTGTCCATCCCATGTCTTAACCATATAAATATTTGTCTGTTTGGGCTTTTCCAGAGTACTTTCACACAAGCCAAGCCTATAGGAAGTCTGAGCTGATAGGCTGAGTGTTTATCTTCCTCCCACCTCCAGGTCTTCCTCTTCTCCCAAACTCATGCACAGAAGTCTACCCTACCTTCAGAGATATTTGTGCATAAGAGACACTACTTTTCAACTTTGCTACTGTTCAAAACTTTACTAATCTTTTGTCCATACCCACAAAGAATTGGTCCATCTCAGAAGGTGCACTAAAATCTCTCCCTGCCTGCCTATCATGGCACAGCTACACTCCCCATCCCTACACCATTCTCAGTTCCAGACCTTGGAAACAGTCTTTCACTCTCTTCTTCACCATATCTCCATGTCATTTAAGATCTTAGACGAAAATACTGAGTTTGCCTTATAATTGTTCTTACTATATCTGGAATTAGCATTCTACAGGGCAAAGCAGTACTTTTCCAATGTCACCTATTCCTTAGAGTTGAAAGTTCAAAAGAGACTGAAATAGATGGTTAAATTATGTACACTATACAGTATCAACAGGAAAGCAAAGCCTCATTTGCAAGAGCTACAGTTTCCCTGACTCCCACCACTGAAGACCAATGAAGCTGGAGGGCAGTGCAAAGCACTGGAACTGCACAGCTCAGCACAGGCTCTGGCAATCAGCAGGGCAGATGCTGACATGTCTGAGAGCTCCTGAAGGCTGTCCCTGTGCTTTTTCTGTGCCCTCAACACTCAGCTGGATTCCCAAGCTGGTTCTTCATGCTGGACTCTGCATCAGAAGCACAGAGAGGTGGAGGGTCATGTTGTGCACAGTTTGCATATCCCATGGCCCAACAAAGTCATGGTGCTGCTCAGTTTCACTGTTGTTTCACAGGTACAGCTCTGCACCTGAGCAGTTTGGGGATGAAGGGGTGACAAAGAAACTGTGCATGATTAGTAAGGCTGTTCTCACATGGTAGGGATGCACTCATCCTCATGCACATCCAGTATGTGAAATAAAATTATTTTGCTGTGAAGGGGCTTTTCTTCGGGTGCCAGGCAGTCAGAAAACACCATTAGAGTTTTCACCTCTTACCATCAGTAGAGATACCCTGTTCAAGACAGAGTAACAGATATGCAGACATACAGAGATGTAATAAATCACTGGGATGGAAGCTGTACTGTGTTGCAGTAATCAGTAACCATGTCCTGGATTACGACCTACACGGACAGTTCCAAAGTCAACAACTTTAAAGAACAGTTCCCAAATGTTACAGGAAAGCCTAACAGTTGTAACCCAGGAGGGCAAAATTACAAAGAGAAAATGCAAATGAAATTTAGAATTCCTCAAGAGAATTCGGATTATTATTAGCCAAAGTGCCAAAGGTTGGAAAACTATACAACTTGGTCAGTAAAGAACTGAAAATAACATTTACTAATGAAAACTAAGGTCAGAAAGAGATATTCTACATATATAATACATAAAATACATAGTCTTACTTTAAAGGTTATACTATCCACAGTTTACTTCTAATGGGTATTCTCTTTCACACTTAATAATCCTCTGTAACTGTCTCACAGATACAGAGTCAGTTAGTTTATTGCAAATGGGCATTTGGAGCCCTCACAGGAACAAATTCAAAACATGGTAACCGTTGGTAAGCCTAAAAATTAGAGGAAGCATATTAGAAACAGTGAAAAATAGAAAAGGAAAGCTAAACTTTCTCTGAAAGCATGCTGGCTTGGAAATATGGGGAAGGGTATTAATTATCAGTCAAGAGGGGGGCTTGAATTCAGTCCTAAACAATAAGGACTTTAGCCCAAAAAAAAAAAAACCTCTTACAAAGACACTATCTCTAAAGGGGAAAGGGAATCAACCACCACACAGGTAAATGAAGAAGCTTGCAAAAATTCAAACAAATGAATAAACTGAGCAGGCTTTCATCTTAGAGAAACACATAGCAACCACCAGTGACAGGGAAACAACAAATCCTTGTTATAAACATGATATTTTAAACAAGATGATGAGGAACAAAAGGAGCTGGCTTCCAGGAAAGCACAGGGATAGTCTGGAAGATGCATACTCTCTAAAGATATGATGGTGTTGGACCACCAAGTGAAATGTTAAGGCCCATTTCTAGAAAAGGGTCAGAGTAGATGCTCTCCCAGAGTCTTAGATTTATAATCAAAAAGATGACAAAATCAAACACCCTATGCTCAGAATAGGCCTAATCATAACAAGGCAACACAAAAATCTCTTCTGAAAAACAGCAACGCAGAAACAACAGCACTTTATTCACCATTCAGTCTTCTATGCACTGCTAATTGTCAAATTCCTTTGCTCCCCAGTCCCTCCCCCAGCCACTATTTGTTCAGTTCTCCGTCACTTGGACTAATAAATCCCACTATCTTTCCAATATTTGCTCCTGATCACTTTTGCAGCCAACCCTAGGGAGCTGCAATTCCCTGTGGCTTGGTTAAGCAAGGAGGAGGGGTGGTTTCACAAGCAGTTATGATGCCGAAGTCTCTGCACAGGCTCCAGCCACCATCCATGCTTTGCATTAATATTTCCAAATATTTCAATACATAGTTTTGTAACACAAGATCACAGTTGATTCCAAAATTAAAGTCTCAAGTGTGCATTTACAGAACAGTGGAAAAGAAGCCAAGTTAGCCATAAGACTATCTTTACTTCAGCACTTAAGGCAGAATTTGATACACAGCAAGTGTACTTCAGCAGGCTTGAGAACGTGATCTCTAAGGATTATGTTTTCTATAAGAGCCTCATTAAAATAAAAATTAGAATTGTCAACTTCTTTTTCTTAAAACACTTTTTTGTAAATATTAACACCCAGAAGTAATACCCAGAATAAAACCCCCACTTTTACATTATTTGTAAAGCTACTAATATAATTTTATCTTTGAATTTTTAATGTTGGGAAGACCTTAGGTGTACACAGAGTTTATCAAAGCAGTGTGTGAGAAATCTGTTCTCAAATTTTTATAACTTATCTTAGCACACAGTTAAGTAATGCTGGTGTGCAAATAGCTACACCTTCTCTCAGTTAGTTTTTAAAGTGGTGGAGGAAGGGTAATGAAATGCAGAATTATACAGGAAAATAAAGTGAGTGTACTTCATTCAGTATCATGGGTGCCCAAACTTCACTTTTGTTTCAGACCAGAAACTCTTGTGCATTCAACGACAGTAATAGCCAGGATAATGGGAAGAACTGAGCCTACCAGAGAACCAAATTCATGAGAGGTGGAGATACATCAACTCATTGCAGTGACCAGTGATGCAGATGGTCAGGATTCCAATGACAAATTGTAAGATTTCTCCTGTTAAAATCACTGGCAAAACCTCCTTTTGATAGATAACATGAACACCAACAGTCTCAAGGAATTTTATTTATAAAAACTATGCAAAAAAATCATAAGAAAGACTGCATAAAATTTTTCAGTGGATTTAAGTGGTTGTTCAAGTGAGTGAAAAATCTATCCTTTTGCTGAAATGAAGGACAGATGCATGGTAGATAAAACTCCGTGAAATACTCTGTAAATCTATGGGTATATATTAGCAACAGAATAAAACACTCCCCTCCAACTTCTGACAAAACTGAAAACATGGAAATAAAGATGTTAGTTAAACAACCCCCTTCTGGAAGAATGCTAATTAACTTTTATAGGTTACATTTTCTTGATATACCGAAATCAAAATGACACAGCCATTTGTTTTCCCTGGCAAAGTCATGCACATCACTGATTATTCAGGTTTTGAAAACTGTGTATAATACATACTACCACCTACACAACAGCACAACGCTGACATTTCAGCACAGAACATGTTGAAGCAGTATTTCTGTACTGGAAAAAAAGAACAACTAACAAAGACATTTCCTAGAAGGTATCCATCTAAGAGAAGAGAATAATGTATAAAACATGGGCCTTTTCTTGAGAGCCTGAGGTTACAGATGCCTTTTTCACCACATCATGTTCCCAACATAACAAATCTGGCAGAAGAACCAGGTTGAAAAAACGGAAAGCAATTTTCATTTTGATTTTGTGGAGCAAAAAAGACTTATCAACTTCTTACAGTAATTTTATGTGAGGCAGAGTACATTTAGGGGAATTACAAACAAGTTGCCTGAAGGTCTTTATTCCATACTCTTTCCTGATTAAAAATGTATAAATTATTGTTGCAGTCATCACTTTTAATAAGACAAGATGAAATTACTGCATTCTAATACTGTATCACCTTCTTCTGTTACTCCTGCTTAAGAGAGAGCCAATTACTTTTCAGCCATGAAAAAATCCAAGCAATCCTATCTTGTACACAAGTTTCACCCTGATAAGTTTTGAATTACTCTGAAAAAAAAAAAAAATAAAACCTCCTTATACAACAGGATGCTCCCTGCTGAGCAACAGAGGCACTCCTTGTTCTGCAGGAGCCACATGCACCCAGCATACACCAAATCCCTGCTGTCAATGGGAAACTTCAGTGAAGTCTGCAAAGTCCATCAGTCCAAAATAGTGCAAAGGACATGAAAGCCAGAATGGATCCTCACAGCACCCCTGGCATTAGCACAAGGGTGAGGAACTAGCCACGCTTTCTATGGAGATGTGTACATCAGGTGCTCTCACACACAAAGCTGAGAAACACGGCAGATGACACAAAGTGTGAAATCCCACGTGTGGACAAAACTAACTACTCAGTGAAGTCTTGCCTAACCAGCCTGTAAAAAGAGGTTAAAGTTTCTGACAGCACTGTATGACTGTGCAATAATGAACTGAATTTTGCCATGAAATTTAGTGATGAACACTCAGCATTTTTATTTCAGTGTTGGAGTAAAAGTGATTTGAGTCCCAGTGTGGCATCACGGCAGTAGCAAAGTTAAGATGACCTTCAAGTACCAAGAATCAGTACAGTCCACCACAGATGGCGTAATTCAGAGATCATCAAAACAGCACACAAACAGCACCATTCCAGAACTGCCAAATCAAAGCTGCAGCCCCATAGTCATGCTGGGGAGTCAAATGACAAATCTGAAAAAAACCCCAAAGATTGGTTACAGTTTGGTTCCCATAGCATGTTCTGTGGTTCAAGAAAAAAAAAAGGAAAAATGCAAGCTCAGAATATTGTAAGTGAACTCTGAAAACACATACATTTCAATACATTTATACGAAACAAACTCACTTTAGAGAAGTTGGACTGCGCTTCCAGTTTCACACAAAGATTTTCAAGTGTCTGAATTGATAACAAATGGTAATTGACACTAAAGAAAATAGCAGCAATGGAAATCAGTTTTAAGGAAAAAAGAAAAAGATCTTTTTCTTTTTAAAGTTATTGTCATAAAGTGACAAGACCTATGTTTTGATATTTTAAAAAAGATATATCCCATTAAACATTTATCAATATTTTTGACACCAGATAGTACAGGTAAATGAACGCCAAGCTTAGACAAAAATAAGCACCTAATACAGTATCTTCAGGACTTAAACCAGAGTTAAAGGAAACCTGCTTATTTACAAGCATCCATATGTATCAGTTGTGGTCAATTAGCATGCTAAGACTGCAGCAATGTTTGAGTCTGATAGTAATCAAAGGATAGCAGGGGTTTTCAGCCTGCCATTTTTTTCTTGTGAGCTCTCTCTGTTTCCAAAAGCTTTACCACCCTTTCTACCCCAATGAAAGTACCTACCCTGAACCTTTGTCATTGTACACCTGGAGTTATCTTCCCATTTACTTCAGCCCTCTTTTTTTTAGGAAAAAACATCTAAAAATAAATGATTTTGAAGCGGAAGTAGAAACTTCTAGCTACGAATTGAACATCAGGTTTAGGAGAAGTGATATTCCTGATAGTAAGAAAAAACAGAGTAGAGGACTCACACTCTTCATGACTGCAATGGCATAAATATGATCACTGATGAGGCAAAAGTCCTTTATTTGGAAAAAAAAATAATTAAAAATTAAGCTCCATGCATCTCTGCAGAGTAGGACAAAGATTGCTTCCCAGACACTGACTGGGTCCTGTGACTCACCCCGTGAGTACACTGGGATCCCTGCCAGCCTATCCTCCTTTTCCCCTCACAGCTGGTTTCTGTGGACAGAAGTGCACAGAAACACAGGCACATTTCACAACAGGAAAAGCCCATTATTTTTACTACCCACAGACTTTTGTTCATACTAGAAGGAACTACATTGTACTAAAGTGACCATAAGAAATTCTTAAAAATTTGATAGTAGCAATCTGTTCAGCTGAAAGCTACATGAAGAACTTCTCATGAGAAGTTCTCACAAACTCAGGATGGATTTTGTTGAAGAAGTTCTATCTTCATTTCTAGATGCCCAAAATAAACAAAAATATGCTATAACATCAGAAAAATTTTGTGGCTCAAAAGCCACTATGTGACATTTAGCAACTATGTTATTAGTTTAATCATTGTGATTAGAGAAAATTCACATCTGATTGGTTCACAGCTGGAAGACAGAAGTCCTTGACTGTGCATCTTACTGTTTACAATTGCAAAAAGGCTCTAAAGACTTCAGCCTTCTAAACAACTCAGAGTACTTTTGTTCTATGTAAGTGAATAGAATTACACCTCCCCATTATTTTTCATGAAAGGGGAACAAGCTTTAGATTGCTTTAAAAAAAGTTAGTATCCCACTGGGAAACATCAGATCAGACTCGTTAGCCAGTGTGTTTAAGCACAAACTCACAGAAAGAAAAATAAGGGGTGGGTTTAGCAGAAGTGAGTGTGCCAACTCTGTCTAGCCACAGGCAGCTGGTAACATTACAGACCCAGGCAGGAGTTTGAGAAACAAGTCACTGTTTCATATTTTCAAGAATGAGAAAAAAAGTTTGCCTCATGATCAGGGCCATTAAAATTCCATGCAATCCATATATTAAAACGTATGTGGTATTGCATATAAAAGGAAACCTAGTACTAGCCTCAGCCTTGAAAGCTGTCATCCAGCATGGGTATGTAGATGGAAGCGAAAGTGTTATCATTAAGTAACCTCAGTTGCCAACAAGAAGTGGTCTCCTCCTCTATGAACTTTGAAATTCTGTTCAAAGCATAACCACAGTTTTGCCCCATAAGTAGTACCACTAAAGAGAGGAAATACTGCTGTACATTCCGTATCATACCATCAAACTAGAAATTCACATTTGCCTCAGTGTGAAAATGCAAAAAACTTGAGCCTCTGCTCCACTTAGAAGCTCAAGTCCCACTAAAACCAGAAACTATTCAAAGACTTAAAAAGAACCATCACTTCAGCAATCCAACGAATAAGAATGCAAGGGAACGTCTGTGAACCCTAACTAAACTCACAAGTATTATCCCTTACATGGTGAGGGGTAAGGCACCACTTGTAAGGGTGGTGAGATGGTGAAGTCCAGCAAAGGCAAAGAACTCGTGCATGGCCAGGCTACATGTCTCTAGCATTAAGGCTTTCACTCCTTCCTGTATGGCCTGGTCTGCCCTAGTCTTCAGTAAATTCCATGTGAACAAACATGTCTCAAGCAGACACACAAAGGTGGCTCCTCAACCAGAAAGAGCTAGCACAGCAATCCCCTGTTACGCCCAGGTTCTGCTGCCAGTGCCAGAGGCTTCTGCAGGCACAGCCCTGGTAGGAGGACAAACCACAAGCCCATCTGATGCAGCCAGGCTGGCAAGATTTTGCTGGTCTTTAACATGTCACTGAGAGATCCAGAGTCTGCAGTTATTCCAAAGGCACCCTCAACTACTGTGTATTTTCATCCTGCAAAGTAAAAATGCAAACCTTTCCTCTGTAACAAAATCCAAAGCCGTTTCATGATACAAACAGGATCACAAACCAGAGTATTGCTGCCTTTTCAGAAGCCTACAGCAGCAGGATTTGCTGTGATTTTGAACAGATTTTCTTGCTGCAATAGTATTCCAGTTGTTACTGATGTGCTATGAACCACAAAAAGGCTAAATCTACACACACCACTTGCAAAAGAAATTTCATTTGGCTATATGATTAAGATGCAGCTACCATTGAAGCTCTATGCTGTGAACAAATATCTAAAATAAAATCCTGGGTTTACAGAAATTTGTGGAAAATCTCAAATGTCTAAAGTAAGGCAAAAATCTCAACAATACAAAGTCTAATAAGGGTTTGTTATCACTTGTTAACTGCTTTGACATAAGATTAGAAGAATTAAAGGTCTGAAAGTCAGAAAATTCCGGCTGTAGTAGTTATTTTATAAGAAAGAAGATAAGCACAGAAAAAAAAAGGTATTTGAGATAAAGAAAAAACTGCTAGACTGAATGACAGAGAAAACTGCCAGAAAAATCAAGGAAGACCTAAATGCACTAATTTTTTACTCTGTCTAAAACTGTTGAAAATCAGTTTGATCAGCCAGTCAAGAAGATTACGCTGATGTCAAGGCAATGACAGAATTATATAAATGAAGAGAATAGCAATGGCTCTAATCCCTTCTCTGGGTGAAGCAAGGAGTCCTGCAGAAGGCAGGTATGGCAGAAAAGGAAAGAAGCTTTCAAGCTACTCTCAACAAAGTCAAAGATAATAAAGGACTATAGCAGAGCTCCAGGGGAAACTTCAAGCAAGACAAAAAAAAATAATCCAAATATATCTTGATTTAACACAAATCTAGTGAAATTTGTAAACATAATTAAAAGTACTGGTTAATAAACTCTATTAGGTTCAATGTAAATTTTCTTCAAAAGCTAGAGCACAGGTCAACCCAAGACTCATGGAGGCTGTCTCCTTTTAGATATATTCAACTAATAGCTGCCATCTCATTTCTGAGCTTGAAATTCATTCAGTTATACTTTCCTAGGAATTTCACAAAACCTTATGCTAGCCCCATGCTGAAAATAATTACACAATTCTGGGGTAGATGAGTGCTTAGGTTGATGTTCAGTACAGTAGGCAAGACTTGGGGAAGAAGATGGACACAAATTGATAATTGGGAAAGCACAGAGCCTTTGTAAAGGGCAAGTGTTGAAGTCCTCACCCCTTAAGTCTGCAGAAATGACAGGGTCCTAGCATGAGCTGAGCTGTAAAGGAAGTAACAATACAAGTTATGAACTAAGATGGCAAGGGATCAGCCACAACCACAGGACAGGGCAGGAGGCTGGATGAAATTTCTGCTCCTGATGCATGTTGACCTTCCTAATTTCATTATTTTATTCTTTCTACTGCTGACTGGAGATGCACTCTATCACTACCTGCTTTCAAGTTACATCCCATCAATTGAGAAATCCCACACAAGGAAAACAGAGAGGAAATCAAGGGCAATTAGAGGCACTGGGCGTTAAGGAGTCACTCATGTTTGCTGACAGCTACGTTGAAGATCCAGGAGGAATTGCCAGGTGACTTACCAACAAAAGCGCTTCATTTTTTTGTTGTCATTTTGTCCACAGAAAACCCTCTTACAGGTTCCAGTGTGATAAAAGCAATTAGCAAAACTCACTCAAATGAAAAAAAAAGGGTCTCATTAGCCTAGCTTACCCACTGAGCATAGCAATGAGAATTCGTGAAGACAATTACTAAAGAGCACAACGAATTTTGTGAACAGTAAAAAAAAGTGAACTGAGAAATCAGACCCAAAAAAAGTACTCTTAATATCTAGCAGAACAAAATGGATGATACAAAACACAGAGCCTTCTGAAAAGTGAGGAGTGATAAATACAGACTTTACCCTTTAGTGACATAAATCTAGTGCTACGCAGCAGCCAAACTCTGCAGTCAGGTTGTAACGGTTATGAAAAGATTGCAAAAGAGCCTAAGAACCTTATCTGGATGATGCAATCCCACCGTGCTGGTTGCTCCCCCTAAACAGAGCATGCTAAGACTGCTAAGTTCTGAGAAATTTAGCATGTAAATTCTTATTTACTGAGGCTGCTTTGACCTACCCAACCCTGGAAAATGAAAGAGATGTCCACTGAAACAGACTGCCCAGGATGGGCAAGATGCCCAGCCCTGGAAGTGTTCAAAGTCAGGTTGAACGGGGCTTTGAGCAACCTTATCTAGTGAAAGTTGCCCCTGTCCATGACAGGGGAGTTGGAATAGATGATCTTTAAGGCCCATTCCAACCCAAACTAACCTATGGTTCTATGATTCTATGTCATTCCATACTGACTTACAGTAAAATTCATACTTCAGCAGGCAATAAACTAATCTATCCCTTCCACAATCTTAAGAAATCTGATTGCCAGGAGCAGGATAGAGTTCCCAGCACTCTGCTGCCTTTAAGGAGGTGACTTCATATTTGCCACGAAAAGTAAAAAGAAAGATCAGACACAGCAGGGCTGAAGATGCAGCTGTAAAGTTTCACTGCACCTGGGACTAACTTGGATACCAGAGGTACAAATGGTCATGTGTGGTAACAGCAGGGATTTTGTCACTCAGAGCATTGGATCCTGAACACTGAACAAAAGCTAAGGGGGTGAAAATGCCCTGCACATGTGGGAATCCTCGAGCAGCCTTCACTTTGGAATCCACCACCATCACAGCATACCTGGGGATTTCCATCTTCATCACCTTCAACACTGCAGTGATTCAGTGAGAACTGAGCCAGGTGTGCACTCTTCAATACAATGACCAAGGGATCAAAACCGTATCTCTGTAGGACATTTCCAGCACCACCAATTACCTACAAAGTTGCAACTATATGCACACATAGAAGGGTTTTTTCACATGGTCTAACAACAGAAACTATTTGATGTTCCAAATCAGCACACAGTACTTTTGCTAAAAACAATTACAAGAAAAAACTTCCTAGGCCTTCATGTTGATGAAACCAACTGTACCACTAGAGTTTAAACAGCTCTATACTTCACATTTCTACTGGGTACAGTACATTTGAGAACAGTGCATCTGGAACTGCTGCAACATAATTTGGAGGCATGAGATAACACATATGCCTGACTCCTAAACAATAGTCTCAGAGATATTATTAATAACAAAATATGCTGAAATAGTGTGCAAAACAAAAGAAACAAGATTTTTTTTTATGTCTAAGCAAAAAAAAATGAAGCACTGGTTCATCTGGTCCCATTTGAATTATCTCTGGCTTTCACAGTCTTTGATAAAAGAATTGGAATTTTCCCCAAAACAATGAAGTAAGTATGCAATGCAGAGAGTACAGAGCAGCAGCAGCAAGCAGCACACATAAATTGGTCCACCCAAACATTCTTGGCAGTGGATGAGAAAGCATAAAAAGCAAGATGCTTCAGTCCACACTAAATTTCCATTGATATACAAGTAAAGACGTGTCAGATGAGCTTGCCCACACCTTTAAGCATGTATTTATTTGCAACAGCAGTATTTAACATTTTGAACAGGAGATGATCTTGTTTGTACTGGACAACATCTCAGGATATTTTTCATAACTTTTGCTTAAATCTTTTCAATGTTTAAAAGGATATATACATCCACTAATGAGAGTGAACCCACCCTCTTTTCTAAAAGTAAAAACAGAATGGTAAGAACATCCCTCAAAGTCAAAAATAAACCAAAGGCAGGACATCCTTCCATACACAGTTGTGTTCAAATACAATTTAATATAGCTAATGCAGGAGACGTTGCAAAGGGCTAGACTATGTACAAAGTCAGACTGGATGGGTCACAATAACTGTGCTTTATTAGACCTGGGTTTCTGAGAGAGAAACACAAGGCTTTCCTTCTGGAAAGGAGATCACGAAGGCAGGAAACCTGAACTTTCTTTTGAGCCCAACAGATCTCAGCATTGTCTTATTTTAGCTTCTTACCACTGAACAGACACAGCCCGCACAGTTTTATTTTAAAGTCTTCATAACAACAGATTTTTAAGGCTCTAAATTTATTATAGCTGATGTGGTTCTATGTGAGGAAGTCCAAAGGTTGTGAAAAAAGTCCCTTCACTCATAACGTGGTAATACCAAGTAGGATCAAGCAGTGTTTTCACTACATAAAATGCAAGAAACTAAACAGCTTATAGAAGAAAAAATAATTCTGACTCATTCACATATGCAAGATTTCTTTGAAGCTTGGTTATAATTTTTGTATCTTAAAGCAGCAATGCCAGAAATTGAGCTGTCTGTTCAACCACAAAACCAGACACTGCGCAAGCAGCTGTTTCCCAAGCCACTGAACACTGACATACAGGGGGAACCTCTCCAGTCCTGCTGTGAACAATTCTGTGTCGCGCCTAACGGTGACAGATAATTTAACCTGGCTTTAAAGGATATTATGTGCAAGCTGCTAGGACACAAACTTCAAGTTTCCCTCATTTGGTCCTCGGAAGGAGCCCAGGCTCTGACCCCAGCTTGTTGCCCTTTTTCCAGGGCCTAGAAATAGATCACCATCAGTCATGGCTACTGTGATGGCAACTATCACTGAGAGGCCTAAACATCTTTTGTGTAGTCATGCACTATGGGCTCCATTTCACCATTTCATCAGCTACACACACCTAAGCCCTACTGCTGTTCAATCAGAATCTTTCAGGCACGTACTTAAGGTTAAAAAGAACACCACATACAAGCCAGCTCTCACAGTAGTCTCATTTTTCCTCCCAAATACCAATTCAGTGGGTTCATCATGTTTTACAATTGGTTCTTGGATGACTCCTGAACTGAGAGACATTTTCACTTCTCGTACAGCTACACAGCTGCTACTTTTTAAACAGGAATCGCAGATGAATGTTGCAGCGCGGGCTCTGGCAACACGCCTCACCCTCAGCTGTAGGTCTGGGAAATTTGCTATTTAAGCAAAACAGTTATGCTGAATCTAACCTAGTCATCTTAAAATCTTTTAGAAACATAAAAGCATCTGCTCCAACAAAATAATAGAAGTTTTTGAGAGGAATATGGAGGAAGCACATAATGCAATGGAAACAATTTACAAATACTAATACCGACCAAAACAAAAGTAAATCTTCCATGGACATTTTTCTGTCTTAATGAAGTATAAGTCTAAGCTGAGTAAATATTGCAGATCAGTTCCTGAACAACTGGAGGAAAAATTATGTCTTGTCATCAATCCACTCTTTGAGCTATTTTCAGAGAAGCTTCCCAAATGTGACTACCAAAGCTTCTCATGCTGAAAAAACAGCTGGAGAGAATTAGCATGGCTATGATCTATCCCACACCAGAAGCTCTGAAGATGAGCTATTGTAACCTGAAAAACCATGCCAGCTCTGAAGCAGAAAACACAGAGCAGTACTTTCCAGCTAGGGATGCAATGACCAAACACTGCTGTAGCATCAGGTGAGTGGACCAGCAATAGAAGTCACTCAGATTCTCTCTGAGGAGATACTAGCAATTTGTCCTTCTTTCCAAAGCATCCTGCTTTTGTTAACCTGATTAAATGGCAATTTCTAAAAATATTTTTTTATTTTCCTTGGGGGCCTATTAGAAAGGGCGTCTCTCTGAAGCCCTCCGAGACTACAGTATTACACTGTACAGTGTATTACAAACTGGCATGCATACGAAGAGAGAGAAAGAGTACAAAAAGACTGAAAAACTGACTTCATCAGTTCTGTCCACTGTGTTTTAACAGCAATAGTCTTCTCATGTTAAGGAATATATGGGTTCCTTTAGGTTTTGTTTTTGGTTTTTGTTTCTTTTAAATAAACAGAGCTGCCAGAGCTAATAATTGCAAGACTTCTGCATTCTCATACCACACTGAAATGAGACTGTAATTTTTTCTAAATACTGTATCACTTCAAATAGTAATGAAATACAGAAATTTTCTATGATCATTTTTTCAACATATCATTTAAAAATTTCTAATTTTGTTCAAATCATTTTAGACAAGGCAAGTTACATAAAAATTTTTCTCCCACTCAGGAGAAGTCTGGGGAACAACTTTATGAGAAGCAAGACAATGGGGTAAGGAAAGAGCGGGCCACTAAGCAGTTTGCTGACTTTTTGGGGGAGTCACAATAAATCAGACAACCACACCTAGCAGTGCTGTACTCTGCCTTAGCCATCAGAAGCACATTGACTCATGCAAGTAAGAGCTCAAAAGGTGCAGAGTAAGGCTGTCAGCAAGGAAAATTATAAACACACACAGGCTCTCTGACAGATCCCTGGGCTGCCACGGGCCAGGAAGGAGACACTTCTTCAACCGCCCACTATGAACATGAATCTACAAAGGGCAGTGCTGGAGTCCAGGTTTTCACTGCAGTGTCAGAAAGGGGAAGCTGGATGGTGGAGAGGGTACTCCTGTAACACCCCATTTTAGTTTCATTTTGCTCATCTCTTCTTCACATGTATCCACAGGCTTGAGCAGGCCACTTTGCCAGGACTCCATGCATATTCTCCAAAATCAACAGGAACACATCCATTGCATTCAGCTAGAACCTCCTACCACTAGGCCTACAGTATGAGAGAGCATTAATTTTTTAAGAGAATTGGAATATTGCTTAGGAAACTACAAGATTAAATCATGAGAAGCACAACCATAGCATTTTTGTGCTGATTTGAATTACGAATAGAAAGTACGAGCAGTTAAGAGGAAACAAGATATGTTCTATACAAGAGCCAAGATTTTTTTTTCCTGACATGTGCCAAACAAGGAGAAGAAACAGAAGAATCTGGCACCATTAAAAACAGTTTGTGGAGAAAGGGACTGAATATCTACAGCCAAGATCCATGTGGTTTGTAAAGAGGAAACTTTTGTTTTATGGGACTCTCAGTCAGCCAAAATTCTCCCAGACGGCATGCAAATGGATATTAGCCTAAAATCCTACATGCTTCTTGTAAAAGGATCAGTAAATGATGGGGAAAGAAAAAGAACACTACTGAAGTTTGAAATCAGAATTCAAAATCTGCCTCATGGTTGAAAAAGTTAGTTTACCAGACAGCTATAATGTCATACATATATGGTAAATGTCTTGGAAAGAAAAGGCAGCAAGTTAAAGCACAAAACTAGAAGTCAGGAAAATGTGTTCCAAGTCTGGCTCCACTACCAAGGAGATCTATAAAACTTGGATAAAAGAGAAAAAGACTGCCAACTTAACAGTGAGATTTTCCTTAACTTCATATAGTGTATTAACATTGCACGTATGCTGTTTCTTTTAGCTTCTGTATTTCCCCACTCTCTGGCATTGTGATGCACTAAGTTAAATAAGTGACTAAATGAAGTGCTAAGAACAGTTATATTACTTTATCAAAACAAGTCCTTCCCAACTTCTTAATCAAAACACTAGACTGGAAAAAAAACCCCAAAAAACAACAACAACAACAACAACAACAAAAATTTAAAAAATTTAAAAAAAAATAAAAATAAAACAAAAAAAACCCCAAAACAAACAAACAACAAAAAAAAACCCAAACCACACAAACAATTTTTTATGGGACCATAATTCTCATAACTGAGCAGAACATTAAACCAGCTGGCACAATCCAACAACTTAGCTGACTATTGCTAACATACAATACCTAAAATTGTATTTCAGCATATAGGAGAAAGGGATGGACAGGCAACAGCTCCTCAGCACTTGTTGAGCAGTTATACCATGGAAGAATTCTTTTCAGCATCTCTGACAACTCTCTGAGTGCCCAGTGAAGCATTTTTCTGTGTTATCTGTAAATCAAGAGACCACACTGACCTCCAACTTACAGTAGGAGAACTGAGAAGGAGTCCACAAGCAAGACTGCAAGCTTGGGACTTAGCAAAGTCCCTGGACCCCAGTGAAGTCACTCCTTCCTGAGGGAGCTAAGATCCAGGTAGCTTTGTGAGGTGAGACCCCAGGAAGTCCTGCAATCACCTGATGATGCAGCTCTCTAGTTACATCACCAATTATTAAACACATCAGGGGGCAAATTTCACCATCATGCTTAAGAAAAGTAGTTTGTAGTTCATGTCAGGGGATGCTAGGATTACGATTTGCCCCTTTTTGTCTTCCTTCACATCAGCCTTTATTTGTAATGTTTCAGTTGAGATGTGCCAACCAGCCTGCTTTCCTCTCCTAAATATAGTGGTAAGCATGAACATCATTTTTGAAGCACTATGTATTCACTTGGGTTGTCCTCACTCATACCTTTGGGACTATCAGCTTGGAAGGGGAGCAGAAAGGTTAATTATTCAGAACTTTCTGTAAGCTCTGTGCTTTTGTGTACAGTGCTCTAGATGGATGCTCCATGCTTCATGTTGCACTGGAATAATAAAAATAAATAATTGCTGAAAGCAATTCCCTTTAATTCTCACCCTTTAATTTCATTTGCTCTAAAGAACAGAAGAAAGCAAAATCAATAATTACAAGGGGAAAAAAAATTATAGGCTCTTTCAACAAAAACACAGGGAGGAAAAAACACCATGAAAGTATAAACTATTGTATTTTAGTCAGAAACCAGAAGTTAGCAGTTCTTATTGCCACTAAAAATATCTCCACCTCTCATACATATACATTTACCAGCATGGCATCTACTGATGGGTTCTGGATGCTGATCAAGACCAGACCAGGTATAAATTATAAAGCTGAACAACCCCCAACAAAGTAGGTCAAGAAAACTGGGAAGGAAGGGAAACTGTTGCTAGGTGGCAGTGTACCTTAAGCAAAGAATTCTGTAAATCATAGATTATCGAGAAGGTTCATTATCTTCTAAAATAGGTCTCATCTTTAGTGTCATCTTCAAAGTACAGGTAGGAAGTGGAATTCAAAATGCAGGCTACAAATCAGAAGGATGAGAAGTATCACCAAAAAAAAAAAGAAAAAGAAAAAGAAAAGCCTGTTTTGAAACACACTACTGTGCAAGAACCATGATGTAATGGCTCTCCAGCTCTATTAGAGCCATAAGAAAAACCAACAGCCCGTGAATGGAGACTTGTACACCTTGAGAAGGTTACGGTTTCGCTGACTTAATTTTATTCTACCTTCACTTAGGCTCTGACCAGCAGAAGCAAGTAATGGAAAAAGCTTCTACCACATCTTGGCACAGCAGCGAACAGTTGACAGAAAACCCAAGTGTGATGGTGAGAAAGAAAGGTTTCCTAAGGCTACTTAAGAAACAGAACTGTTACATTTCTGCCTTAAACAGTTTCAGTCTTCAGTCTTTTTCAGAGTGGAGTAAGAGGGGACAATGACAGTAAACAAAAGGTCATGAAAACACGTGCATTCCCTAAAGGTCCAATTAAAACAATGGAGAAAAAGGCCTCTGTAGAAGGCCAAGGTAAGAAGGAAGAGGCCAGATTTTTCTGGTATCCTTCTGTCTGTCCTTCCTGATGTTCCCTCCAACTGAAAACTACCTTAACATATTGCCTAAATTAGCAGAAGTGGTAAAAAAGACAGGCTGATGACATCTTGTGAACTACAATTCGCTTGGTAAGAGAGCTGTTAGCAAGCTCACAGCTTGTCACAGAGAAGGATAAGATGTTCTTGAAGGCAAAGACAAAAATCTATATTTTTTTCAACAATATCTGTCTGGGTTCAAGAGAGCAATTTTGGGGAAAAGTATCTTAGATTAATGTAATTGTATACATCAGAGATATTTTAAAATATAGAATAAAAGGGAAAGATGAAAGACAGTTTGGTTCAACAAGGCTTTAAATCCTTAACTCAGGTCACAGCAAAATCCTTTCTGAGAAATGCATCATGCAATTCTTCTTATGTTGACTTCAATCTACAATTACACTGTTTAAGTTTGGAGGTTTTTTAATACCATGCTTTGATGCATTAGAAATTGGTCAAAAACTATATATTAGAAGGTACATGTCCCATCTAATGCAGCACAGAAATTCCTACACTGCTGTAAAGTAAAACCCATAACATTTGCCACATATCATAGTGTTTCTCACAAGCAATCCTGACCATGAAGACCATTCCTAATAATTAAAATACCAAGCCTACAAGCCTACAGAATCATGGAATGGTTTGGGTTAGAAAGTTCCTTAAGGATCATCTAGTTCCAAATCCCTGCCATGAGCTGGGCCCCCTTCCACTAGACCAGGTAGTTTAAAGCCCCATCCAACCTGGCCTGGAACACTTCCAGGGATGGGGCAGCCACAGCTTCTCTGGGAAACCTCTTCCAGTGCTCATCATCCTCACCATAAAGAATTTCTTCCTATTATGTGATGTAAATCTACCTTCTCCATTTTAAGGCAATAGAATTGCAGAGGGAATAATTTTTACAAACCATTGATGCATCTCACATCAGATATGTGTTAACCTTCCAAGCAGTTATAAACCTCTGATGAGGAACCTTTTTCCAGGTTTGGTCTGTATTTTCCTTATCTGAAAAACTTTGGGATTCAAACCTTAGGAGAAGGATTCAATTTCAATAGATAAATAGGGGCACAACAATCTTTGTTCCACTTCTCTCCACTGTCCTCTTCCCCTTAGGCAGTGGTTTTAATCTGTGGCCAGCCTGAGCTTCTTCTTCCTAGTAATTTGCAGCATCTGCTCTTCAAGGAGAGGGTCAGAGAATACCCCAGCCTTATCCACAAATCGCTGGTTACAATTTGCAACCATTT